TGGCCCACCCAGTTTGGTACTGCTTTCTCTTATCTGATATAGGTTCACTAGAGATTTTAAACCACGGTCATTTGATTCCAGGCCTGCTGACTAGCATTTTCTGTTCTGAGTTCATAAGATATACCCTACCACTTTACAATGCCTTGGTAAGGCCACACTTGGAATACTGCATCCAGTTTTGGTCACCACGATGTAAAAAGGATGCTGAGACTCTAGAAAGAGTAGAGAGAAGAGCAACAAAGATGATTAGGGGACTGGAGGCTAAAACATATAAGGAACGGTTGCTGGAATTGGGTATGTCTAGTTTAATGAAGAGAAGGACGAGGGGGGACATGATAGCAGTGTTCCAATATCTCAGGGGCTGCCACAAAGAAGAGGGAGTCAAGCTATTTTCCAAAGTGCCTGAAGGCAGGACAAGAAGCAACGAATGGAAACTAATCAAGGAGAGAAGCAACCTAGAACTAAGGAGAAACTTCCTGACAGTTAGAACAATTAACCAGTGGAACTACCTGCCTCCAGAAGTGGTGAATGCTCCAACACTGGAAGTTTTTAAGGAGAGACTGGACAGCCATTTGTCCGAAATGGTGTAGGGTTTCCTACCTGAGCAGGGGGTTGGACTCGATGACCTCCAAGGTCCCTTCCAACTTTATTATTATTATTATTATTATTATTATTATTATTATTATTATTATTATTATTATTATTATTATTATTATTATTATTATTATTGTTGTTGTTGTTGTTGTTGTTGTTGTTGTTGTTGTTGTTGTTGTTGTTTATGTTATGGCCTGATAAACGGTCACCATCTGAAATACAGCATCAGTTTGGTCTAGTGGTTAAGGCACCAGGCTAGAAACCAGGAGACTGTGAGTTCTAGTCCTGCCTTAGACATGAAAGCCAGATGAATGACTTTGTGCCAATCACAAGGAGACTGTGAATTCTAGTCCCACCTTAGTCATGAAAGCTGGCTGAATGAGTTGGGGCCAATCACCAGGAGATTGTGAGTTCTAGTCCGGTTTTAGGCATGAAAACCGGCTGGGTGATTTTGGGCCAGTCACTCTGCCTCAGCTCAACCCACCTCACAGGGTTGATGTTGTGGGAAAAATAGGAGAAGGGGGGAAGCAAAGGGGATGTTTCCCACTTTGAGTTATTATAAAAAAAAATAATGAAAATGGGATAAAAACAAACCATATATTATTTTATTTATATTTACAGCTTACAATTAAAAATACTACAAAAAAGATTAAATTAAATTAACACATATTAAAACCCTCTTACGGCATGTTGGCTTATAAAATGATATGCCCATAGAAATTATTGGATCTGACAGATTTCCAACTTACTCTTTAAAATAAGCTCTCTGCTTTGGTCAATTCATGTGAATTTTGAAATCCTGAATCGACCTGTTTGTTAAATGATTGTTCCTCTCCCATAAGGAAGAGTTTTCAGTTGAGTGAAAACAGTGGGAGATTTGGGAAAAAAAATTCCACATCCATCACCGTGGCCATTTGAAATGGGAAGCTTTTGATTTAAAAAAAAGAGCACATGTTGTTTGCCAGCACCGTGCTTTCTAAGTATTCAGGGAACTATTCAGGAATGGTGTTTAAGAAGGGAGATGCTCACATCTAATTAACTTTTCCTTCATGGTAGGGTCTGCCCTGAAAACCCTTAATACTGGCTACTGGATTTATTTAGCTAAAATCTGATTTGCCTAAGGATGCACACAAAGCAATTTAAGCAGTTCGTGATTTAGTTGGGCCCTGGGCTTACATTCTTCCTGACTACTAAAGCTTTACTAATATGGTACTCAACACATCCTTTTCAGAAGGTCTATTTCAGACAGTTGAAGGAGTTGATTGCTCTGCTTTTCCTTCAAACAATAGGAACTGCTGGCTTGGGGGTCTAATTATCAGTCTTCTACTTGTGCCCCAGGAGCAAGGTAATACTGGTGAGGTGTACTTAAAAGAAGCCAATTATGGCCAATACATACTGAAAAGTTACTTAAATTTTCCACCAATAGCATATATTTGTATGTTAGATGTTTGATTGCTTTTCAGTTTGTAAGCTGCCAAAAATCTAATGAGTAGGAAGTATACAAATCCTCAAGGAGCTTCTCTCTAGCAGAGTGTGTGCTGTTCTCTGTGTGGGATTTATAGCGCCTATTGTAAGTGGCTTTTTAGTTATTGATTGGGGTGTGTTGATGGCTAGCTTTTAAGTCATTAGGTGTTTGCTTGTGCTACCCAACTCTTGTCTTCTAAGTACTTGATAGGCTGATAGTAAACCAGCACTCCTGTTGACTTACAAGGGGCCTCTTTCCCAGGGTTCAATCACTTCCCTGGCTGTTTTTATGCCTGCTCGTCCAACAATCTTAGTAGCTCCAAAATTGAATGTGTGTCCTTGTTCACTGCAGTGTGAGGCTACCAATGAGTTCAGGTCTTCTCATTTGATTGCTCGCTTGTGTTTATTTTTATTTATCAAATTTAGGCACTGCCCACCTCATTACCTAAGTGACTCTTAATTGTAAGCAAAAAAAAAAAAATTGTCCCAAAGGTACATTTTCAAAAGGCAACTGGACTTTGTTTTTCCTTGAAGACATTTCACTTCTTATCCAAGAAGCTTCTTCAGTTCTGACAGGAGAATGGAAACATTTATATTCCTTGCAAATGGTTGTTGGCACTTTTTCTGAGAGTCGTTGAGGCCAGTTGGAGGTTTATTTGTGTCCTCAGGGTCACCTGAATAGTGCAAATGGGTGTGGAACCTTCTTGGAACTGCTGAAAGGACTGTGTTGTAAACAGGAGATAGGTAGTGTCCTATCCCTCCCCCTCTGTTGAGAGAGGGCTGTTCAATCTTAACGTAAATGGCCTCTTTGACCCCTCTTTCAAACCAGCGGTCCTCTCTGTCCAGAATATGGACTTTGCTCTCTTCAAAAGAATGACCTTTGTCTTTCAAATGCAGATGGACTGCTGAATCTTGTCCTCCTATGTTGTGCCATGAGTTTGTGAAGTGGTTGTTTTTGTTTCTCCAATGTGTAGTCGCCTTTTGAAAAAGTACCTTTGGGACAACCATGACCTGGATGACTGAGAATCTCCACAGACAAGTATATAAATTGTACTTCTGCTGCACTGCAGATTCCAGAGGAGTACGTTATAAATATCCCTTTATCCTAACTAGGACTAGTTTCATCATCATATAAGCACAGGAAATACTTCCATCTATCTTCTTTCTTTATACATATGAAATGGACATTTAAAAGCATGGGCTAAGCCATGATCAGGAAATGAAAAACTGAAATGAATGACCATGTGAATATACTATATATGAACATGACCAAACCGTAACTTTTAAGTACAGATTTTGCACGTTTTTGTAATAAATAATAAACACTTTTTTTTACATTTTGGTGAACAAGAAATTATTGCCTTTTTTAAATTAAAAAATCACATTTTGATAAATTTAAAAATTGGAATCTTTTTTTTAATTACTGACTTTTATCCACCCTATCACTAACCTGGTGTTGATGGTCTTTCCAACATATTTAAATGATGATAGATAAAAGCTTGACTGTCATGAACCGTGTCCATATCAATCTCTTCTTCTTCTTGAGAATTTGAAAACTGCAAAATTAGAAAACAAACAAAACCAGAACATATTTAAGGAGTGCTAATCACCAGCTAAACATGTTTTTTTTCTCACATCTATGGAAAATAATTATAATAAGCAAGCTGGTTTAAAAACAAAAATCATGGTTTTTTTTAAAACAGCCTAATTTCATTTACTGTTCAATTGCTCCTAGAATGAGAACTCTTTGTTTATGCTCCTTAAGATATGGCTATTAACAGAAACATGCAGCAGACAATGGGTTACTCGGTCAGACTTTCCTGATATTAGCAAT